GCACTTCTGTGGAGAACGACTATTCTTTTAATAAAGGGTTTGAAAGAATTGGAAATCCAAGTAAATGAACCCCCACAATTACCTAAATATAAAACTTCAAACTGTCACCTCACGGAGAGCTGCTGTTTATATCAAGCGTCCAATAAAGTATCTTTAAGTTAAAAACAAACCACAAAACCTAAAACCGTAAGTTTCCTAAAAGAAAACTAGAAAACTCTGTGACTAGGTTAAGCAAGGTTTCTTAGATACACCAAAAGTGTAATCCTTTAAAAAATGTTTTTTTTTAAATAAATTGGACTTCATCAAAAATTAAAACTTCTCTTCAAAACACTTTTAAAATGAAAGGATAATCCACAGTTTAGAAGATAGTCACAAAACATCCGAAGAAAAGTTTTATCCAGAATACATAATGAACTCTCAAAACTCAATCGAATCAGAAAGTGGACAGAAATTTTAAACAGATATTTCAAAGAAGAAGATATATGGCAAATAAGCAAAGAAAAAGATGCTCAAGGTTATTAGTCATTAGAAAAATGCATATTAAACCACAATGCCACATTGCTAGGCAGGTATTGGGACAGCTGAAACGACAAATGAACAAAAAGCCTGACAGTGCGGAAAGCTCAAAAGGATGTGTAGCAACTTGAACTTTTGTACATTACTGGCTCTACCATTTTACATTCCCACCCGCAGTGTAGGAGGGTTCCAGTTGTTCCACATACTCATTAACATGTCAATTTTAAAAAATTTAATTATATCCATCCTCATGGGTATGAAGTAGTATCGCACTGTGGTTTAAATTTGCATTTCCCTAATGACTAATGATGCGGAGCATCTTGTCTTGTGGTTGTTGACAGTTTTGTGTATCTTCTTTGAAGAAATGTCTATTCAACTTCACCATTTTTTAATTGGGTTGTCTTTTGTTGTCGTTGAGTTGTAAGAATACTTTATATATTCTGCATACTAGACTCTTACCAGATATATGATTTGCAAATATTTTGTCATATTCTATAGGTTTTTACTTCTTGATAGTGCCTTTTGCTGCAGAAAGGTTTTTAATTCTGATGAAGTCCAATTTATGTTTTCTTTTATTTGAGGTTTTGATGTCATATCTAATCATTCATTGCCAAATCCAAGATAATAAAGATTTACTCTTGTTTTCTTCTAAGAGTTTTATAGTTCTAGCTCTTACATTTAGGTCTTTGATGCAGTTTGAATTAATTTTTGAGTATGGTGTGAGGGAGGGGTGAAACTTCATTCTCTTGCATGTGGCTGTCCAGTTGTCCCAGCACCATTTGTTGAAGAAATTCTTTCCCCCATTGAATAGTCTTGACACTCCTACTGAAAATCAATTTACCATATTATTTCTGGTCTCTCTAGTCTGTTCCATTGGTTGAGGTGTCTATCCTTATGCTAGTTCCACACTGTTTTGGTTAAATTTAAATTTTTCTTTTTAAAAATTGTTTTTGGTTATTTGCACTCCCTTGTAATTCCACACGAATTTTAGGATCAGCTCTCCCGTTTCTGCATAAAAAGGCCGTTGGGATTTTCAAAGTATCTGTAGACCACTTCAGGGAGTACTGCTGTCTTAAAAACATTAAGTCTTCAAGTCATGAACAGGAATATTTTTCTATTTATTTAAGTCTTCTTTAATTTTTCAGCAATGTTTTTTAGTTTTCAGTGTTGTCTTGCAACTCCTTGGTGAAATTTACTCCTGTTTTATTCTTTTTATCCTTTTGCCAGTGTACAGAAATACAGTTAATTTTTGTGTAGATCTTATATCCAGCAACTTTGCTAAACTTTATTAGCTCTAATAGTTTAATTAGCTCAATTTTGAGTGTGAACTAATTTTTCTCTACATAAGATCATATCATCTGTGAATAGAGAGAATTGAAAGTTTAACATTTAAAAAAATTTTTCCATTACATTTGACAGTCGATATTATGTTTTCAGGTGTATATCACAATGATTAGACATTTATACAACTTATAAGAGCCCCCCCCAATATATCTAGTACCTGCCTGACACCATACATAGATATTATAATCCCTATGCTGTATGTTACATCCCCATGACTTTTAAAAATTTATTTGAGAGAGACAGGGGAAGGAGAAGAGCAGGAGAAGAAGGAAAGGGAGGGGGAGA